GTACATTGACATACATATATAAAAGGGAAGGGACGGTCCAACAGGGCACCCGATTGAAGCAATTTGGACGGGGAGAGTGGGAATGCCAACTCCCTGTTGATAGCATTTCGTGGATAAAGGGCGAGCTCATCTCCCCACTAATTGGGGCATCTTCCTGTTTGGGGCTTGTCTTTTTGACCAATTGGCTGATCAAGTTGCTGGAAGGAGATTCTTTACTGTTCCGTAGATGCGTATTGGCGACTTTGCCTATCGATCTACCCAATCCGTTTTTGGCCCTTCATACAGCGGAATGTTGAGGACAATCAGAGGTTATTAAGCTTGATCAAGACAAACAGAGAAGAGGGCCCACTGCTGTCGGACTTAGTTTCCGTGCTACAATGGGTGGTAAACCATTATCATCATCATTAAGGACCATTATGACGTTTCAACATATTTATGAGTGTTGTCGTTTTCGAAATTATTGTAAGAATTGTTCGGTTTAAGGGTTTCGAGGTAGGTCTTTTTATAAGAATCATTTTGAGGCCATTTTTGTGATTTTAATTTAGTAATACTCTGATTGCATTTTACAACACAATGAGCAGTTTCAGGCCAAAATAAACAAACTAAACTACTCGACCTTCTGCTATTTGCATAATTGTTTTTTTTATGCTAAAATTCATCCATTTTGGATCTTGCATTTTTTTTTGTAGAGAAAAATATACACGGCATTTTTTCCATTTGTCATTCGGCGTGGAACTGCTTCAATGTGGGCCAGGAATACAATCATAATTAATAACCCCCAAACGAAGCATTTCCGAGACGTTTTTCTTATTCATCATGAAACGAAAATGAAAAGAAAGCCCGATTAGAACGAAAGGCTGGCTGTGGATTTTCTCGTCGTTGCTTTGCTCATCACTTTCAATGAAAGTAACGTCGATTATCGAGATCAAGCCTTTCACCAAGGTTGCAAATACTCATTTCAGCTAAAATAATGTTTCTCGGAATAATAAATCCAAAAGATGGTATGATGGCATGTTTTACTTGTAACTTACAAGAAGAGGTTACAAAGTATGCGTTTTAAAACATAAAGCCTGTAAATTTTGCTTTCTATGAGTCACAATCAGTGATTTGCTGATCGCTGAGTGAGTGAGTGAGTGAGTGTGTGGAAAATCGCTGATTGTGACTCTCATGAAGTGAAATAGACAGGTTTCATATGTCAAACACATACTTTGCAACCTCTTCTTGTATCTCACCAATTCAAAATATGATCATGGCATCTAATTATTTCATAATTAAAAAAAACATTTTTTTTAGCTGAAATGAGTATTTGCAACCTTGTCTTTCACTGACACTCTATCACCGCTCTTTCAATTTGCTTAATATGCGCTATGTCCCGTTTTCGTTACTTTTTCTTAGCTAAATATGTAGAGCGAAGATAAATTAAACATATTACGGGTAATATTCAAGTGTTTTCACGTGAAAAATGCTTTAAATATAGATTTTTATTTTCCCTCATATACGTAATGAAACTTGTGTTGATATGTTTTATGAAAGACGAAACTATCAAAGTCAAACTCTTTTTCACTCGTATTCTTCACCGAAGCTTAAGACCAATGAAGCGAACAGCGAGAAAGAGAGACAAGCGATGTGTTTGTAGACGCCGACTGAGGTTCTGCGTAGCTGTTCGGCTTCAACAGAAAAAGAAAGCTACCAGTCGCTTCGTCGCATCGATTTAGTCGATTGAAGCTGATATTGTGACGCCCTGATTGGCATAAACAGATAGTCTAAAACTCATCCACATAGATGACGCCAAAGTTGGACTTTTCACTCTGACATTTTAGGGACTTGACATCGCTAGCAAAGTTGTCAAATACGTTATTCATTTTGTCCAGCCAGATTTCTGATCTAGCCCACTGTCAAGAGGAGCGACTCTATCTGCGATTGATGAAAGATTTTGTTTTGCTGTGGTTAGCTGCGCGCACGCTGAGTAGATAGATAGAAAATGGATGACGATTTTAAAGATTTCCTGCAATAAATGATGCGCGATGCAAGTATGTAGATGCGAAACATGATAGAAGATTTTTCGAAGATTCATTCGCTAGGGTGTGATTTTCGAGTATATACAGTAAGAAGTGTTCTGTTTATGGAAACACTCGCTTGTATTATTGGCAGACATGTTGTACGTTAGTCCAATGATATTTTTTGGTATACCTAGGAAACTTTCAAAAATAATTCCTAGGGATTTATAGGCAATGCCACGTCGATCTGGCGCAAGCTAACAAAGACTTCTAAATCTCGAAAGTTGGCCTTAAAGAATTTTTTGGATGAACCTGAATACGTTGAGCCGAATGTAGTGCATGTCTATTAGGTGAACTTCAAATGCGTGAAGTATCTCGAATCTGTTCTCGAAGTTCTGGAAGACTTATAGTACAAGTTCAGTGCATTTCGACTGCAAGACTGAAACACTTTTGTTGCCAAATGTCTATCATAACTTCAAGGAGCATCAGGATAAGTTATAAATGAATACAAGGTAGGAGATTTAAAAGTATGGGAGTCATTATGCTTCGCAAATCGTCCCTGAAGAGTTTTAGGCACATTTAAATAGTGGGAGTTTTCGGGTTGGAAATGTTCTCGACTTCCCCGGGCATAGTGTATCATTCATTGTATAACAATGATCAATTCATGCATTGGTTGGCATAGAAAGCTCTCAATTAATAACGATGGAAATGCTTCAAATTACACAAAGTTGAGAGTAGGCATACGCTCACATAAGAGCGTCAAAGCCAGGAAGAAGAAGACTATGAAAAGTCAAAAATTGTGTTTTTCCAAAATCGAACCGCTACTGTACTCCATATTTGTAATACAATGCCTTCCTGTTTATAACAACACGACCTGATCAGTTATTACTTTCCATAGATTTGTGCTTTTCTAGACATTCTACTTGAGAAACAATTCTATAAATCTAAAAACGCTACAATGGCTTCAAAACTGCAAAAACTCTTTCTCTTTCTATATTTGCCTGATTTTTTAGGTAGAATTGTCTTCTTGTTCTTCTTCTTCTTTCAAGCTTATTGCTTATTATATTAGCTTATTGCGTGCTTAGTGTACTAGGTGCACTTGCAATAGTGTAATTCTGTGGCAAGCAAGTACAATTATTCTTTATTGCCCAGGGAAGTCGAGAAATCCCGCGTAACATTTGAAAAGAGCCTATCCTCGTTGATCGATTCTCTTCATCGACTTTCTCTTTGGATACCATGGCTACATAAACGAATTTCACGCTAAGATCGCAGCACAGTTCGACAGAAGACGATGTTAGCTTGCGCCTGAAACAACACACTCAATGGAAAATTAATTTTCAGTCGGGTTATTCGCCAATGAGAAAATCGATGGAGAGAATCGATCAACAATGATAGGCCCTTTTCTCGTGTTGCGCGAGAAATGTTCCAACCCAAAAGATACCTAGACTGGTCTGGGAATCGAACCCAGCAGCCTCTCGCATTGTAGTTGTGCCTTTACTGACTGAGCTTAGGGAGACCCCTGGTAGAGTTGTAGATATTAAATAAGAGCCACCAAAAATAGGGTGGCTCTTATTTAATATCAGGGTGACAACTCTACCAGGGGCCTCCCTTAGCTCAGTCAGTAAAGGCACAACTACAAAGCGAGAGGTGGCTGGCTCAAAATCAGAAATTTTAGTTTTGTTTTCATTCTTCTCTCACCGGCATCATTAGCGAAGGAAAACATCAAACAGACCTAGTAATATGTAGCAGGCTGCGAGCGCGAAGGCGGACGCGCGCGTAATCCAAACCAAACGCCAACCCGAATAGGCAATGTTCTTTTCCTCCCTCTCATTCATAAAAATACTTTCACCACCCTTTCTTCGAATTCGCTTTCCAAGCATAGAATTTTCTCTCGCTCTTTGCCGAATGCGCTCGCTCTCTCCTCTCGCTGGAGGAAAACCATGTGCATCATCATTGAAATCATCGAAGAAGAGGGTCGTTTTTCCTCCCTATTTGTTTTCGCACCAAGGGGCATTCCAATGGCAATTCCTGTCGGGACCACCGCCACCAAGAGGACGCACATTCACATTCGTGCAAGGTCTGCTCAGTCCTATTTGGAGAGTGGTCCGATGCGAACGTGTTTTCCCTTTCAAACGTCATTCAGAACACTTCCCAATTTGCCATTCAGTGAGTGATTAACAGTGTAGTGTGAGTACCTAATAGACAAAGGCCGGCTTATTTGGACACCTGTAGAAACAAGAACAAAGAAGGCGGGAAAAGTGAATTCGAAACCGTGCTCGGATTTAAATTTGCCCTTTTCGAATTAGACTGCATTATTCGGACTGCGGGTCCACGCTGTTGGTCCGACGGGTTTGGTTTGAGTGCGTAACGAAGCTTGAAAACAATTGGGGAATCCGATACCCATCTCGGCGGGTCGGATTGCGGTGGCTTAACCTGTGGTATTTCCACTTTTTTTATCGCAGTCTATACGTTCACACATGACAGTGGTACCTCAACGAGCAAATATAATCATTTATATGGGATTTTTTCTCTCTCATTTCTATGAAGTGTTTTACGCAAGATGAAATGTGAAATGTGAGCACGTTCATTTTTTTCTGATGAATAGAATCGTCAACATCAAACAAACTGAATTAAATCTCAAACGATAACAAAAGGCGCGCAGTGCACAATGTGTTTGGTGGTTTTTCGCTGGAATTAAAACATAAAACCGGTGGAAAGCATTAGTGAAGTATAAACCGCACCAGAGAAAGCAGTCTTTGAGACCAAACAAAAACTAGCCTCCTGTGGCTTAGAGCCTAATTGAAACATACCGTGAACCCCTATTCCCACAATCAGTAGTCCAAGCAATCTGTCGCCGTGGTGAAGTCGTGCTGCGAATAGGATCCATTATAGTGTTGTGTGTGATAGAGTGAATTTGATTTTGCACAATCACGAACCAAGGTGGCTGTGGGTTCGATGAATTAGATTTGATAACGGGGTAGTGAGAAAGCGTGTGAAGAAAAGCAAAGTGGCTGCATCAAAGCAAGCCAGACAGGCGGCTAAGAGCAACGAAAATCAAATTTGCATAGGATTTGTGCAAACAGTTTTAATGCTTCTGAAAGTGGATTAGTGGCGAGCTCGCAGGAAGGTCCCGTCTGGTGTACGCTGAGAAGGTTTAGCCGTGGATCATCCTACCGTGGAAGTTATATTCACTGGGTAAATTAGGTTTCGCTTTTCTTGTTTCACTTCCCACCTTATCCTCTTATTAAAAAAAAAATACTTGCATTACTATAAACTTTAGCTTATACTCGCATAAATTTGATTACGTCCATGCTAAACATTCATTATATTACTAAATTTAGGCGAATAAATCCCGTCCTCGACAAATCCTCATCTGAGCCACCATAAATACTCAAATAATCCGATCTGATTAGGTCTTATTTGCAAAAAAAAAAAAACAAACATTCCCAACACAAACAGTCCACCTTTACCCCAACAGAGTCCAAGTTGTTAACCTTTTTAAGGTTAACTGAAAACGTGCAAAGCCTAATAGGAATCTAATCCTAATGAAAACAAACATAAAACTCGTGATCGCATAATATCCTGTCGACCTGCCGGCTTCTTCCAAAGCCCCGTCCTGCAAAGGTTAGCAACGATGAGGAAATTCTATCACAACGAGCGAATAACGAACGAAATAAAAAGTAATAATAAATCCACGCGGCAAACGACAGAACGCGCGAATTCGCGGAACGAAAACATTTTTCCCGTTTCCCAACCTTCCTTGGTTCTTTCAAGACACGCAACATGCGAATTGAAAATAAAGAAGCTTTTCAAGCCTCCGTTGTAAGGTTTGTATGCACAGACAAACAGACCAGGATGTGCCATTGGGGGAAGTGGGTAAAACCAACCTCCCCAGTGAAACCATTAGCCGCACTCCGAAATCTGTGTCTGACGGATATTCCATTTCCGTTTTTTTTTCGGTCTCATATTTTCGGATTAAAAGTTTTCTTTTCGCCGCCTGCTTCCGTTCTTGCGGACCGAGCTGCAAACGTGTAATAATAGCTGATTTACTTTTGCTGCCTAACTTAGAAGGCGGCGAAATAAGATTGACGCATGGCTTGACGGTTAAAGTGTGGCATGAGCAAATTTCTGTGTTGTGTGACTGCTGACTTTGATGATGTGCCTGTAGGTAGGATTGCAAATATCGTACCATTAGTGGTGTTTGATGATTTTATGCTGCATAATTGAATGGAACAAACATGTCTGCACCTATTTGTAAATAGGTTTTATTGTTATCAATAGATTTTCTATTGAAACTTTTTAACTATCAATTGCTACTTTCCACAAGTCTATTTCTCGTTTTCAATAGTTTATTCCTCCTGACCGGCAGCTTTATTGGTAATTTCACGTTAAACTATGGGAGTTTCCCTTATTTTTAGTGAGCGCTAGGCTGCCACCCTTTTTAACATGAGCAGTCCTTTGAAGTTTTGATGATCTTATTCTTTTTAAACACTAAACGCAGTTTGTCATAAAATTTAGACAAATCAACAGACAAAAATAGGAGATTTTTGCTTTTTTCAAACATGAGCAGTTCTTTGGAGTTGTGTTGTTCGGAATTCCGCCAAATGGCATTCGGCCAAACGGTATTTGGCCAAATAACCCGTAACCCTAGTCCTCACATTAAAGTTCGTAGTGCATTTCCATGATTATTGATTGAGAGCTTTTTAAGCTTGTTCCATTTTTGAACTCACATATTTTTTAGTATGCTCAAGTGCAGGGCAGTTGGGAATATGTCCAACCCGATACAATACAGACCGAGAATATTGGCCATCCGTTAGGTTAGTATGATTTATGAGAAAACAAGCATATGAATTTTAATTTCAATTTGAATATCAAACGTTATTTAATATTAATGCCAATATATTTTGGAAGATTAAAGCAGCGGATGTTGTTAAAGTCCTCAACTGCCACTATTTCCATAACAGTCCCATGTCCTATGCGATTTCTATTTACATAGGACTGTTATTCGAATAGCAGCAGTCAATCTGCTAGTATAACTTTTGCCATTGTACAAACTATTGTCGAATTTGTATATCAGAAGAACCATCTTCCATTATTTAAATATGCAAATGCAGCACCAAATTTAACTCTTTGTCAGATTACACTAGCACTGATACGATAATCCAACGTAAATGAACCCGCAACTACGTGCATAGTTTGGGGCTATATGTATAACCATTTTCCACTTCACGCAATCACTCCGTTAAAAAGTCGTTATCCATTTGCATTTAGACTGTGATTTTCACATTTTCCTGACACAATAGGAGCAACAATAATAACAACCCTAAAGCAGCAGAGCGGTGGTTGTACATAGGACTAAAAAGTTCTCCCCTCCTGGTACCAAAAGAGCAATATGCTAATGATACATCGCTTTCGAGCACGCCGCTTGTCGTCGGCCGTGACGTTTCCGCACCCCACAACCATCAGGGCGGCGTCATCATCGGCTCGGGGCATCATCATTGCTGGATGATATGCCAAAAACCAAACTCCATTCACCGGTCCGGAAGGAGACAAAATTTATTTAAATTTGCCCACATGCATACATCGGTGGTACGCGCTGGTACTGGTACGGGCGGGCGTCAAAAAATCACCCTACACTGGTCAATATGAAATTTATTTTTTCGCAAAGCAACCCTCCATACAATTCGAAAAAACCAAGCAAGCTGCTCATTTGAAAATTTCTCGGATAATTTTTGCTAACCAATGTTGGGCATTCACTTACCAAGAAGCATGTATCGTCCAGATAAAACAAAAAAGAAAAATTGTTCTCGGAATGTGTTATGATTTATGTTGGTTGGCCGCTTTCATCCTTTTTCCGATCCTGTCACAACGGTTCTAGCACTCATACCTACTATATGGACATAGAAATCGTCCATTCAGTTTGTCCTTCCGCTCGCTGCTGGCGTGGCCAACTAGATGAATGTCAGCTCCGTAATCCTCGATTTTGGTTCAGTTTTGTCGGCACTCATGCTCGTCCGGCCTACTACGCCCGGCAACGAATTGACCATAGATGAGCAATCAGCTTTATCCTTCCATATGCTTACCACTCGCTTTCATTAGAGCGTCTCGTGCCTCTGTGTTTGAATCTATGAGCTGGTGGTGAGTGGTACTTGAATTTCACTGTACGTAAAGCAATAACGAGCTCCGTAAGGCGTACCGGAAAAGCCGCAAAATTCTCTAGATACAGTCGAAGAGATTAACGCGTTTTCCTCCTCTCGCAGCAGTTTTGCACACATCACGAGTGTGCTTTTCTTCTACGACGGCTCTGTAAAGGGGACACTCTGGAGAATAAAGCCGATAAAATGAAAATGAAACAAAACCCCCATCGCTTTCACCCCCAAATAATGGGAAAAGCCCTGCTCCCGGAACGTGATAAAGAGCGTACGATTTGTGTGGTCTATTGCAAGCGCCATTTTTTGGCCGTAGGCCAACTCTAGAGCCAGGACGCCGGTTATGAAGAAATAATTGGCCCAATAGCCCGGTACCGGGATTATCACCTTCAGTTGAATGTCAATTACGGATTCGGCTTGACTGACTGCAGGGATATGGATGGATATAGGTATCATTGCCCAGTTCAGTCGTTCAGCTCGTGAACCGAGTGCATTGGGGTAGTTTGCAACGATGAAGCCCTATGAATGGTACTGCTGAAATGGGAACGAAAGTGAACTGGATACGGTAATTGATTCATTCAAAACAGTTTCCAAACTACCTATCTCTCCTGCAGAAGGGGTTATGTGTCATGTGTCGTTGCTGATTGAAGGGATTAAATGAGGAAGTGGGCAGGTCGGAATGGTGACCTCAGATGGTCTAGTCAGTAAAGGCATGGTATTATCAAGCCGGAGGCGGCGGGTTCGAGGAAATCTTCGGATTGGAAATTTTCTCGATTTTCCTCACTATGATTGTGCTTGTTACACAATATACAAAAATCATGCATTAGTGTTGGTATAGAAAGCTCTTTATTAACTGTGGAAGTACATCTAGAAGACTAAGTTGAGAGCCGGCAAAACGCACGCTACAGAAGCGTAAAAATCCTAGAAGAAGAAGAAGGGGCAGGTCGGATTAAGTACAAAGCGGGTTACAAATCCAACATGATTATATAAGTTGAAGTTAACTTACAATCATGACCTTTCATTTTCCAATTACCCTCATTATCATCTACCCATGGAATGAGATGACCTGGAATGGATTTCTCTGGTTGCTCTGATGCGAACAAATAAAGTATAATAAAATATCAGAAGGGCATCTTTTAAGCAGTGGTCCAAATCAAGGGGCAAGACAGCTGTACTCAGAGTAAATATTTCTAAATTACCCGAGACTTCACTGAGTCTGTAGAACTTCAAGATCTGAACTACAGATTGGTCTGACATTGATACCATTCGATGATGTGCAGGCTCTCTTGATCTTCGCAGATTCATAAAAATTTCCTATACATTGTTCAAGACTTCATTGAACCTTTAAATCTTCAAGATCTTAGCTACAGAATAGTTTGTACCGTGCGGGACCGAAATCCGTACACCTAAGCACGAGAGAATCATTAACGGTCAATACTAAATAATGCTATCACATTATGCTCCGTATCACATCTTTTTCCTTTACATTTATCTTTATTTTTCCAATATTTGCAAACACCAGGTCTTAAAATTACCTTCAATTATTAGAAAAAAGGATTTAAATTGCACATATCTTGAATCAAAATCCGTACAGCGTTTTACGATTGAATCAAAATCCGTACAGTTTTGAATCGAAATCCGTACACTGTGTTGAGGATGAATCAAAATCCGTACAGTCATGAATCAAAATCCGTACATGAATGTAAATCGATCCAAATCAATGAAAAAAAAACGTGTTGCTATCTTGAATAAAGTATTTTTTTGTAGTTGCTTGGCTAAGAGTCCAAAACAGCTATATTCGTTTAAATACACTAGTTTACAGCATATTTGAACTTTGTACGCTGATGGTCATTTCCCATGTAAAATCGTGCGGTGAATCCAAAAATATAGTCAAAAAAAAAACTCAATAGGATAGTTTTGAAGATATAGGGGTAAGAGAGGCATAGTGAACAGGTGGGGCATAGTGAACAGGTGGGGCATAGTGAGCATCGCGCGTGCTCCAGCTTGGACTTCCGGCCGTTCAGAACAAATTTGTTGGCTGTAGGA